CTGATTATCTGCTGATCTTTCTGATAAAAGTTATTTATGTAGCTCACACACTGTACTAAACAAGTCTGTGACTTAATGTTGGGCAGTAGCTCCAAACAGCAGGTGGTTCTGACACAGGTAGCCATGACCTCATGAGACTCAAGAAAGCTTTATTTGTTGCTGCCTCATTTTTAATTAGCTAATTAAAACATATGTTCCAGTTTTTGCTACACTACACTGCACGGACTATGATGATTACCCTACATATAGGTTTTATATAAAGGAACTGAGCTAAAAAGCTACTCTATCAGCTTGAAAGCATCATTGTAAGCTATTTGAAGTGCGCTGTGATTCTTGTACCAGTTTAAAATAAAGCAAAACATAAATGGGGTTATTCATGTGTAAATGACATCAAATAATCCTTGTTTCTTTACCTGGTTGTCCAGCTTTTGTTGACGCATATCAGGGTCCTCCATGTCTGAGTAAAGACTCACTGCTAATTACAAAGTAGATAATTAAGGACGTTTAAAAACAACAGATGAAATCCAGCATCAAAGTTCAATGAGAGAAATTGTTCAGTTTCCAAAATAAAAGAGCATTTAAATATGAAAACGGGTGTTTGACTGTGCCACCCTGCTCCATCTGACAGTCTGTCCACCTGCATGTAGCAGAAGGCAAAGTGGATTAAAGGGGGATAATGTTCTTAAACTGCACTGCACAGCTCAGTCAGTGTGGACAAGCAGTCTCGGGGGCAAGGCGAGCTTTTCCATGGCTGCTCTATGGAGATGCTAAGGCATAATGTTACAGCTGAAATGTGAGACAAGAGAAGCGGGGAGGTGATGCCCTGCTCCTGTCCTTTCACTACATCACTTACCCAGGCGTAAACAGTCCAACACGGAAGTCGCAGCAGTGACCACAAATTGCCCCAAAGCCTCCGAGTATTACCCAACGCGCCTCACTTGGCCCAGCCGACACACAGCACACATCCCCCCCCCCAGAGTGCCGTTAAATGACCAAGAGCGTCCCAGAAAGCATCAACACAAGCAGACACTGGCCATTAGCGGGACACTCGGGCAGGTTTATCTCGTTGCCATGGATACGGCTGCCATGCAGCGGCGATGGAGAGCCGTGAAATGAGAGCCAACAACTCGTTTATTTAGATAATATATCGTTCAGGTCTTTATTAGTTGGTTCATTTGTCTTTGTGTGTGTGTGTAGCAGTGCTTTCTCACCGTTTTGGTACACTGACGCTTGTTTGCAGTTTTTACTTATATTTAATAGCCTGGTTTGTTTGGTTGCATTGTGGTTTGTCGTCCATTGTCATTATTATTAGTATTTGTTTATGGATTTTATATGTGTTTAATATTTTTATAAATCTACAAATGCGTATACAGTACTTTTTGTTCTTTGGCCTAATACACAAAGTTCAATCAGTAGTGGTAATACAGTGGTATAGTCTAGTTTAGCTGCACAATATGGTCTAGTCACAGTAATAGTTGTATGTATTAGAAACAGTGAAAGTCATATTATTGCCAGTTGACTCAAAAAGACAATTTTCGACTTCCAAATGAAATTAAATAAAAAATAACCATCTATAAGTGATTATGACATTTCAGTTTTATTTGTTTATTTTTTAAATGATTTGTACTAAGCTATATGTTATTCTATCATTAGGGTGGGTAGTTCTGTGTTTTAGGTCTATAATCAATAAAATAAAATATGAGTGATGCCTAGCGGACATTTCAATTTGTTTTTCTTTCTTTTTTTCTTTCTTTTCTTTATTTCATCAGGGTTTTACATTATATATATTAATATAGGTGTTTTTAAACAGCCCTATATTATTAAGGTTTTTATAGGCTATATTTATATTTGTATTGTTTACCGATATTATACTTTTTTTTATTTTCGGTAGTAGTAGTAGTAATAGTAATCTTATTATTATTATTATTATTATTAGTAGTAGTAGTAGTATTAGTATTAGTAGTATTAGTATTAGTTAGTATTAGTATTAGTAGTATTAGTATTAGTAGTATTAGTAGTATTAGTATTAGTAGTATTAGTAGTATTAGTAGTAGTATTAGTAGTATTAGTA